CCTAAATCCTGGCTCCGCCTCTGGAGGTACGTACGTTAGTTTGTCTCAACGTGCCGTGCTCTATGCGGCGTGCAGGTGCAGTCTGCATGCCCCGCAGGCCACCAGAGGGTCGATCGATGGTGGCCTCGAAGTAGCCTGCAGGCTGTCACGTACCAGTACTACGACTCTTGTGACCGTGCCATCTGAGCATTGGGTCCCAGCAACCACTACGTACGTGCATCGAGCGGTCGATTAGACGTACGCCAGTGACAAAATGCTCTTGGACCGACCCGTTCGACGGTGCACACACCTACATAAGCAGCCCTTACAACCCTACATAAGCTGGCTACCAAAGTGTATCATTATTGAAACTGTAAGGAGCAACTATAAAGACATCCCCAACGCAGATCCTCAAATCGTCCACATCCGTCTGGACGGTGCTGTTCGGACGTGTTCTATCATCCAACACGGTCCTATATTCGTCCGGATTACCAACCGGACGTGCTTTTTTCGCAAACTGAAGACAAACTGATGGAGGGTGAGGGAGGCTTTGCGGGAGTCTGGATATTCGTTGATCAATCAAATGACAACATGCATCTTCTCTGTTCGGATGCGGATGCACTGCTAATTTTTGCTACTTGACGGAAGCCACCAACACATGACGGCGGAAGGCTGTTAATTAGCGTAGCATTTTGACGAAAGCTAGTAGTGCTACCTTAGGATTTGGCGGAAGCACATGATGGATTTGACCGAAGCTAGCTAGACATGATGGTGAAAGCTACAGATAATCACGTAATACTATTAATCAGTAATCACATAGGATAGGAGTGAATGACGGAAGCTCCTTTGCTTTTCTTCTTTAGATGGCGGAAGGTCAAATCACATAGTGCACGCCAGCTACTGTTTTGCTTCGTTGGATGGCGGAAGGTCCAAATTACATAGTGCACTGATGGAATTTCCTAATCAGTAGTTGACGGAAGATTTTCACATGTAATTACATGGAAGGTTACTAATTTGATGGAAAGTTGTTTGCTGTTTTTTTAGGTGAATAAGAACAGACATTTGTAGTTATGGTTGGATGACCGGCTCCCGCATGAGTACCCACAGATTAGTCCTCCTGTTAGCGAATGCGCCGAAGCAAATTTGCGGACCAACATTGAAGATGCCCTGAGTAAGTTGTGCAAGATCTTTTTTTAAAGATACAATCGTTTTCTCTAGAGCCATTGGATTAAAATCCAGCGGCTCCATCTTCATCTTTCACTTCAGAATCATTATTGTTTATCTTGTTTCTCCTCATGCCACACGCCCTCGATCTGCCTCTCCTTGGATTGCCACGCCATGGCGAGTCACGTCGTCCCCGTCTCCGTCGGGGTACTGGCCAAGGCTCTCGATGTTTATCATTTGACCCTTGCCACACCATTTGGCTGCCGCTAGGTGATGCCCGAGCTCAAGACGAGTTTTTGCTACCATCCTTGTTTTTGTTTTGTTTTTGCTGGAACCATCCTAAAAATTGCTACCACCGTCTTTTGATTTTGCTGGAACCGGCATTTTTCGCTTCGGTATCGGCGGTGAAGGCGGGTGGTGTTTTGGTTCGCCGGCGGCGGTGAGGCTGCGAGCGCCGGCGACGAGCAGGGGCAACGGTGGTCCAAGCAACAGCAGCGCGGGCCAGCGTGCGGGATCCCGCGAGCGGCGGCGGCGCTTGCTCTTTTTTTCTCCTCTTTTTTCCTGTGAGGGAGGATGACGATAGGAGATGCGGGGCAGATCTGACGGTTACGCGCGTCCAGATCAAGCGGCTCTGGTTTGACCGGCCGAAACACCGCCGGTGCGCTAGCGCAGAGTACTGCCCAATAAAAAAGGCCCTCCATCCACACTTGTGAACCCTCGTCCTCGCCTGTCGGCGACGGGCGCGGCCGACCGCGTCGTCCCGTGCCCAGCGAGGTCCTAGTTCAGCCTCGCCGGGACACCCCGACCGGCCGCATCGCCCTGTCACAGTCTCACAGTTATGTTGTGGCTGGTCTCCATGAAATTGACTGAAACTTGATAAATTCCCGGAAAACTCTAATCACAGCTCATCTGCTAATTCTTCAACATCAGTCGGTGTGGACGAAAAATAGCAGATGCAAAACTTCAATCATTAATGGGAGATCCATCCATCGATCTCAACTAAAGTCGGCATCAAAATGCAGCTAGATATTCGTAACCACCAACATCAACGATGTGCGACAGCTAATTCATGGATGGATAGATGGGGCCAAAGGGTTCTCAAGGGGGTGTGAATCTAGTCCCCCCTCTCCACATCCAGCCAGGTTCCACACTCCTCTCCCCACTAGCTAACCCCTATCCCCCACTGGGCCGCTGCTTGCATATGGATGAACCCATCTGCTGCTTCCACTTGGGCATCCTGCTTGCTTTGGGGCAATCATCAGGTGCACAGTACCCCGGGTGCCAACACCAACATGGATATATATGTACTACTCAGGCTGTGGATCTTGACCACCGGAATACCGGTGCCGGAGATGGCCACACTGCCTATAGAACTAGCCTGGTTTTTACTACCTGGAGGCAGCTAGTAACATCCAATGGGCTGGGCCACCACACTTGCACGTTCATCCTCCCAACCAGTAAAAGTATCAACTTGGCCATCTTGCTTGCTTGGGGGAATCATTAGGTGCACAGCACCGTACCCCGTGACAACATACATGGATACATATAGTACAATAGAGTGTGTGGATTTTTTTTTTTTGAGAATAGAGTGTGTGGATTTTGACCACCAGAATACAGGTGCGGGCTGCCTGTGAACCTAGACATTTTCTTTTTTTTACTCCCTCCGTCCCAAAATATGTCTCTCAACTTTAGTACAAGTACAAAGTTGAGACACTTATTTTGGGACGGAGCGAGTACTTGGAAGTAGTTGTAGTAACATCCAATGGGCTGTAGCACCAGACTTGCACTTTCATCCTCTGAATGTAGTATCAACTCTTTTTTTTTTGCGAGGAGAATGTAGTATCAACTTGACTACTTGAGTGCACTTGTATCTCAATTATTGAAATGTGGCACTGGTGCTACGATCACTTCTTAAACTGTGAAAGCGAATGAAATACTCACTCCGTTTTTATTTACTCCGCATATTAGCTTCGACTGAAGTCAAACTTTATAAAATTTGACCATGTCTATAGAAAACAATATGAACATTTCAGATAGCAAATCTATATGATTTGAAAATATATTGAATAACGAATCTAATGGTTTCAGATAGCAAGAAGGCTATTGTAAGTTAATATTTCTTCTTCTATAAACTTGGTGAAAGTTTATACCGTTTGACTTCAAACAAAGTTAATATCCGGGGCAAATAAAAACTGAGGGAGTAGTAGTTGTTAATCAGAGATTATTTATCCAGCTTCTGGAGTGAACAATGAAACTTTCCATACTCTCTCCGGACAGGAATATATGTCGGGCACAATTTTTTAGGTGTGCAATTTGACCAGCAAAACATGTGTTAATATGAGTTATTTGCATATCACAAGTATGAAATATATATTTTATGGTGAAATTTCACTATGTACATTCCACCCGCAAAGTGGAAGCTGACCTACACATATATACGGCATCTGTATGTGAATGCATGTCATCCTAGAATACTTGCAGCCAAACATCACCAACTCGGAGTGAAAACATTACCAACATTAAGTGAAAATATACACAGAAAGTATTAAGATGTAGTAAGTGATAATAATATCACTAGAACTGACATGGGAAAAGCAATGGCCATAGTTACATGTGGGAGATTGCGCCCATTTCTAAAACGACATGTATTTCTAAACCGAGGGATCAATTTTCATCCTCAAGTAACTCAGATGACCCACACTGATGTGACATCTCACAGTTAGGAGACCATGTTATTATTTGAAGAAAAATATTGATCATAGTTTGTGAGCCTATACATATTGCTTGTTCTCTCTCTATATATGTTTTTTTTACCCGTGCAATACCTACCACAACCAATGCTTGATCCCTAAGGAAAAACAACCCATATATAATGTCTTCCCAGAAAAGCCACCCCCAATATGTTAAGAGTACCAAAACAATCCTAAAGTTAGATTGATTTTCAAGACAGAGACATTCATCGCTTACCCTGTTACTTATGTGGTGGTGGTAACAACCAAACTTATCGTCCTCCCAATTTTCTCACATTGACAATAGTTTGTTTTTTCATAGGTTTCTGAGTATGTTGAGATGGCAAACAAGTCATGTACCCTCCTCTATGACCGTGCAACTTGAACAACTACTCCTTGAATGCCGACTAGTCTGTCATCATTCTTGTCATGATTTTTGTAGTTACTCGGCGATTTATTCGTTTACCTATATTTCCTAGTCATCCAAGAAATAATATTTTCTGAGTTTCCACTAAGAATCATCTAACCTAGACGCCAGGCTACACGCAACTACAATAAAATTTGACCAGACGGCTATCAATAGTTGATTGAGAGATAACAATTTCCAGAGTATTTATTGCATGAATTTTCTTAATTTTAACACGATAGCCTTCTTCATCATAATTTTTACTCTTCATAGGTATCTTCGATAGTTTTTCAGCTAAGTATGATGCATTAGTGCCCGTGTTGCAAAAGAACACTTCATAACCCCCTTGTCGTTACATATGTCATTGTGCGTGTACATATATTCATGGACAAAGATTTTTAATATGGATTGGCAAAAATGCATTTAAGTAATGACCAGAGATTCTCACAAGTCATAAGCACATCTACCGCCAAAGACATAATAATGACAACCCTAGTGCCAAAAGTTCACTAGAAGCCAACCACACATGTCTATGTAGCATAAAATAACGGATTTTAGCAGCGTAATGCTGCAAAGCATACATAAGCGGCAACATAAACACAATTACACACTAATCGATCCAGCGCAACTGCGCAAGTGTAAAATTGGAAGCAACCAACCATGCACCAATCTCAATATATACACAAGAAATCACCAACTATGCAGGTACAATAATCCCCACGATGGCATCTGGCAAGGCGACAAACCACGGCATGGAGGACGACAACGACATGGAGTACTCGTCTGCGGAATCGGGGGCCGAGGATGCGGCGGAGTCGTCGTCGTCGCCGGTGTTGGCGCCGCCCCGGGCGGCTCCATCGTCGCGGTTCAAGGGCGTCGTGCCGCAGCCCAACGGGCGGTGGGGCGCGCAGATCTACGAGAAGCACTCGCGGGTGTGGCTCGGCACGTTCCCCGACGAGGACGCCGCCGCGCGCGCCTACGACGTGGCCGCGCTGCGCTTCCGTGGCCCGGACGCCGTCATCAACTTCCAGCGCCCGCCGGCGGCGGAGGAGGCCGGCTCTTCGTCGTCCAGAAGCGAGCTCGATCCCGAGCTCGGTTTCCTCGCCGACCACTCCAAGGCCGAGATCGTGGACATGCTCCGGAAGCACACCTACGACGACGAGCTTCGGCAGGGCCTGCGCCGCGGCCGCGGGCGCGCGCAGCCGACGCCGGCGTGGGCGCGAGAGCTCCTCTTCGAGAAGGCCGTGACCCCGAGCGACGTCGGCAAGCTCAACCGCCTGGTGGTGCCGAAGCAGCACGCCGAGAAGCACTTCCCTCCGACCACTGCGGCGGCCACCGGCAGCAACTGCAAGGGCGTGCTGCTCAATTTCGAGGACGGCGAGGGGAAGGTGTGGCGCTTCCGCTACTCGTACTGGAACAGCAGCCAGAGCTACGTGCTCACCAAGGGCTGGAGCCGCTTCGTCAAGGAGACGGGCCTCCGCGCCGGCGACACCGTGGCGTTCTACCGGTCGGCGTACGGGAATGACACGGAGGACCAGCTCTTCATCGACTACAAGAAGATGAACAAGAATGACGATGCTGCCGACGCGGCGATTTCCAATGAGAATGAGACAGGCCATGTCGCCGTCAAGCTCTTCGGCGTTGACATTGCCGGTGGAGGGATGGTGGGATCATCAGGTGGCTGAAGGGCACGGCCGGTAAGCTCTTGGTCTTCTGCCGTACTAGTGTGATTGCAATTGCATATATTGATTGCTGGCTACTCGATCTACATTTCCATTTCGGGAAGCAAGAATAGACAATAACAATATTTAATCACATCACATGATCACACCCATAGAAGAAGATATCAATGCAGACAGATCGGAGCAAGAGGACACCATATGGGAGAGTACAATACCTTGCACATTTTGTATGCCTATGGTCGATCTTATTGAATAGATTCCACTATTCCAGAGGGTTATTAGAAGGCGACAATACTTTGCATAATTTTTGCGATGATCTTATTGAATATGTGGTTACCTTTAGTTCTCCAAATCTTGTTCTATTGCCATGATTGTTGTGCAGCCTTTAATTTTTATTATTATACGAGATCGATCTTTACCATTCCCAGTGCTTCATCGATTTTTTCCCCAATTCAGTGATGCTAGTGCTGTAGGACTATCTTACACTATCACATTGATTCAGGAGTCGCTAAACACAAGGAGTTGTAAACTTCATATATATAAAAAAGGAGCTGTAGAGCCTTTTCTCAGGAATGAATTTATATAATGTAGAGAAGCATCTATACTTTGATTCTGAAAAAGATATCAGAGCAATATGACTACATTAATCTATTGGTAATCTGCATGAACTGGTACACACGCCGAGGTGCTCCCATTTTCGACTGAAAAAGAAAAATCTGTGAGATGGTCAAACATCATTTAGAGAAATGTTATGTGTGATCAAACCTCAACATGTGGAATGCCGCTTTGTTCAGCATGGGTTAATTCATGCTTTTAAGGGGTTAAATTAAACAAATTTCAAATGAGATGGGCATCAAGGTCATGGATCAGTATGTGTATTGTCAAAAAATCTGCCGATGTTTGTCTAAATGAGGAGATACATGGTTCGTTCATTATCTCAATGTATTTCGTAAGATTAATTATCCCACAATTGGATGGGAAAACTGCGGAGAATTAGAAGGTTGTCTTAGTGACATCATCTTGACGCCATTATGGCAGCGTTATGGAAATATTCGTAACTTAAGTGAAATTGCAAAGTTGTAGAGGTTAATCGGAACTAATTTATAATATTTATTCTAAATGGGATGAACATTGGGCACCATCGAACAATGTAGTGTAACTATGCAGGAGTGACAGGAAGAAGAAGGATAATAACATGGGAAGAAGTGTATACTATCATGTAATAAACAAGGACATATGATAAAATACCATACCAATATGACACAAATGGGGGCACAAGTTCCGTTGAAACTATAGTTTAGGCCCCCTAGTGGATTTTGGATGATGGACAATATAAACAAATAAAGAAGGCATTGCCTTAATCAAGTGTTGGACATGTTTAGTCCCATGTGTTAGATCAAAATGTCAAATGGTGACCCCTAAAAGGATTGTAAAGAGGCGACAAGGTTAAGGACAATTTTATTAGCTCTTTATGAGGTCACGTGTCTCTTTAAGTCAATAAAAAACCATACTGT